GAGGCAGAAGGATTGCTTGAGCCCAGGAGTTTGAGGTTGCTGTGAGCTAGGATGACACGATGGCACTCTAGCCCAGGCAACACGGTGAGACTCTGTCTCCAAAAAAAAAAAAAAAAGGACCATTCTGCATGGCTTGCCCAAGAGTGGAAGGGCACATCCCTGGGAAAATCAGAATTAGGCTCAGTATCCCTAACAGCTGCAGATAGCCCTCACTTTGGTCCGAGTCTTATAGCCTCTTATTCACTTCTAGATGACTAGAGAACTCAGAGCATGCAAGGCATCCCTTATACCTTCCTGAGTCTAGAAACAGTCCCATACCTAACCCAACTGAAGGGGCAAAGTGCAAGTGGGCTGTTCGACTCAGACAGTCCTTTTGCTTTCCTAGTCTAGAGATATGGCACAATCTGCAGAAATCCACTCTGCCAGGTTCTTTCTTCATAAAGCTGGTTTTATCCTAGAAAATATCCACATGGTCACACAGTGTGTTAGTGGGACAGATCTTGACCAGACATGTGAACTGAACCATAACGTTGAAACACCTGTTTGCATCCAGCCACCCCGCCACAGCCAACACCAAATACCTTTGGGTCATCAGCCTCAGGTTTTTCAGTCTCTGAATCGTCATCTTCCTACAAGACAAAGAATTTAGAGGATTAAGCTTAAAGGAGTGGGCCGGAGGGGGTCTCACATGCATAACTAGGGGCTGGAGCAAACAGCCCATTTACCCAGCTGGGGTCATCCCACCAAGAATCCCTCCCCTACCACGTGGCCCAGAACTAGAGAAAAAGAAGTGGGGGAAAAAACCAAAAAACACCAGCAGCTCAAAGTCAATAGTTATTCTAGTGGTGCCACAGTCCACGTCAATGAAAACGCCCAAGTTAAAAATCACATACAAAAAAATGGAGAAAGATTGCAACATGCTTCAGAAAAGAGCAAGACCAGGCCACAGGATAAAAGAGGAAATAATGTTCCCACTGAAATATGAATTATTTAAACTAGGATTAAGAACCTTTTTTCCCCTCCTTTGCCTCTCATATACACATATACATTAGACTCAGACCTACCAAAACATCAACATCAAAGTGATGTGACACACACATAGCTATACCCTAGCACCTCAACCCAGTAGCATCTGCACTAACATCAACACAGAAAGGTAGGCACCATACGACCAGAGCAAGTGACCCAGAAAAGGCAGGATCAAAGAGCAATGCCCAGGTTTCCCTGGATCCCAGTGAGTGAGCTCTGCCTCCACCTGACTGCTCACAGATTGACCCATTCTACGAAGCCTTGTTCTTTATCCAAATGAGCCCTGCTTGACACAAAGCATCACGTGGGTAAGGCATTTTTCCAAAGCAAGCCCACTGTTCCACTCAACACTAATGCTATGAAGGTCAAAGATTGGGAGCAGATGCTGGATGAGGTACCTTATTAGCTAGCTAAATCCACGTCACTTCCACTACCCAGAACACTCCCAATGCACAGAAGCCTTTAACTAAATGCCTAGGAAAAACTGGTTTCACTCCAAACCATTATTTTCAACAAAGCTACACTTTAACCCGAACATTACAGAGCACTCCAGATATTAATATAAACACCACCTAAGAGACTTAATGGACTATACTGATGGTTTTGAGACTTAACTATCCTATAAGGTACCAGTGAGTCAAAGGTTTTAAATGCAATCTCCACAATCTCAATTAAAATCAATAATCAGAGATGGAGCTCAGCTGAATACAATTACATTTCGGAATGGCTATATTCGGATTTGACCAGAGGATTTTACTAAAATATGAAATAAAACTTAAACATGCTGAAAATTCTAAGCAAAGCCAATATGGAACACCTCAAATACATGTTACACAAATTTAGGAAAGAAAAGAATTATGGATATTAAGCCAGTATGTACGTACTTGAGAAAAGTCAGGAAAATAAAACAACCTGCAAACTTTTCTAAACACTTTCAGTCAACTCTGAATTATCAGCATTAATGGGCAGGGCTCAAGGCATGAAAATATCTCCTAAGAGCATAAAATACAAAATACATTTCTGTTTAATGTGGAAAGCATTGAAATGCTAACATTTACATATCGCCATGTAACAAAATTTTTTAACAAACAACAGGCTGGGCATGGTGACTCACACCCATAATCCTACCACTCTGGGAGGCTGAGGCAGGAGGATTGCTTGAGGTCAGGAGTCTGAGACCAGCCTGAGCAAGAAAAAGATCCCATCTCTACCAAAAATAGAAAAAATTAGCTGGGCGTGGTGGCTCACACCTGTAATCACAGCTATTCGGGAGGCTGAGGCAGAAGGATCGCATGAGCCCAGGAATTTGAGGTTGCAGTGAGCTATGATGACCCCACTGCATTCCAGCCCAGGCTACAGAGCGAGACTTTTGTCTCAAAATATAAAAATAAGTAAATAAATAAATAAAAAAATAAAGTACATCATGAGTGTTTAAAACTGCTGCTAAGTAGCCAGATCTGATATCCAGATTCAACTTTGTATGTCTTTGTGCTAAGCACCAGCCTCAAAGTCATTGCTTTTTCTCCAAACTTTAAAATGCTGGCTCATGCTGCTCAGGTGATTGTGATCGTAAAGTCTTTCTTGTTAATAAAGGTACAAGTTCTTCTTTCTTTTTCAGCCAGCACCCACCAAACTTCAGGCAAGATTTATGATCAAGAACCAAGGCACCCTGATAAAAAGTGCCAAGTAAAATGTCAAGAAAGAAGTTAAGGAGGATCAAAGCAGGTGAAAACTAAATAATTTTCATTCCTTACCTTGTTAATAAATTGAAAGATTTGAATGAGCCCCAACCAAGATTAAGAACAATGCAGAGTTGACTGCAGATATAAATGATACAACAATTAGGGTGAATGCTACAAACAGAATAAATTATTTAAATTGGGAAAAGCAACATAAAATACTCACTGATATCTGGGTTAAATAAAATAGTCTGCTATCTTTTCCCCAAAATTTCATTTCAAAGATTAACACAAAATGATCCAGGTGAAAATAAATTTAATTTTCAAACAGGACTAATGATATCCAACCCAGTTTCTTTAATACCAAACCAAATCGTGGGGGGTATGAGGTTAGCCATGAAATGGAACACTGCTGGCATAGTTCAGAAAGTTTCTGACAAATGAAATGGTGCTTTGAGCAAGTCTTGATTTAGGAGATTTACCTACCGACTGTTTGCTGTTCTCGTCCTCCTCTTCTTCATAACCATCTTCGTCACCCCCTAGGCGAGAAAAGTCGTCCTCTCCATAGGCATCAGATACCAACCCACCTTTCTCTTCTGAAACAGTTAAAAAAAAAAAAAAAAAAAAGTGTGGGGAGATGTAAGAAAATTTTCCAGTGACTTGAATGGCTAGGACTATCTCTGAAGATAAAAGGGAAACCTAAATCTCATGTGAGTGATCACAGGCCCAAATTCTGCCCTCAGAAAAGGAAAAATTTAGTGGATGAAATCATTAAATGAATAGGGAAGAAAACCAATAGATTCAGCCCATCTATTATGTCAGTTGAATCCTTCCCTTCTCTGAATAATAGCACATTGTTTGAGCACCTCTTTTAACACACACATCTCACATCTCAACCTTGTATCGTAGGCACCTGTGAACTAGTCTTGTACAAGACAGGGACTGTCTTCCTCATTTTTGTATGCTCTCCCCTAGGAACAGGACCAGGGACACTCCAATGGGTCCCCAATCATACCTACTCGAAAAAAACCTCTTTCTTCATTTAAAGCAAAACAAAAACAAACAAAAACACTAGGTAGTACTAGGAAACAACCAGGGAGCCTTCTGACTGGAAGAGACCATACAAAACAACAAAATATGACAGTAGCTAATCCAACACCTCTCACTTTCCAGATGAAGAAATCAAGGTCCAGATATAAAATACTAGGCAACTTATTCTCTCTCCATTCTCCCCAAGAAATCTATTCCCCTTCTTTAACTTTGTGATTCTCAACCTGAGGAGGACGACAAAATCACCAATAGGCTTTACAAACTCACAAAGTAACAGAATCACTTAGGAACCTTAAAGAGTTCACAAATGCCCATATCCCACTCCGGATGTACCAAAATACATCTTCTCACTTTGGAGACCAGATATAGTCACTTTTAAAAGCTCCAAGATGCGTTTAGGGCACTTTTTTTTTTTTGAGACAGAGTCTCACTTTGTTGCCTGGGCTAGAGTGCCGTGGCGTCATCCTAGCTCACAGCAACCTCAAACTCCTGGGCTCAAGCGATCCTCCTGCCTCAGCCTCTCGAGTAGCTGGGACTACAGGCATGCGCCACCATGCCCGGCTAATTTTTTCTATATATTTTTAGTTGTCCAGATAATTTCTTTCTAATTTTAGGAGAGACGGGGTCTCGCTCTTGCTCAGGCTGGTTTCGAACTCCTGAGCTCAAACAATCCGCCCGCTTCGGCCTCCCAGAGAGCTAGGATTACAGGCGTGAGCCACTGCGCCCGGCCTAGAGCACATTTTTAATTAAAAACTTATAAACTTAACAAAACGTTTATCAACCTCCACGTATGTTTTACTCATTGCTCTCTCCCATCTGAACAACGAGCCCAGAGGGAATAGGTAGTTCAGCAGCCTTGAATACCTCTCCCTCATCCATCTCTCTGCCACCACGAGGCCCGGCACAAAGAAAACTTTCAGTAGGTTTCGCCAGAATAATGAAAACAACAGGAAGGAGACTACAGAGTCTCTAATGCTCTATCCCACCAGGACCCCTACCGCGCTTCGGGGCCCACTACTGGGGGCACAATAACCATCCTCTTTCCCTCCCGCCCCGCTAGGAGGACAGCGTTCCGGGCAGACACCTGATTTCCCCTTCCAGTTTCCCACTCGGGCCTCACCAGCTGCGCTGCCCACCGCTTCGACTCCAGCCTCGCCGTCAGATTCGGGCTCTGAATCTTCCGCGTAAACTGCAAGAGACGACAGAACGTTCTTCTTCCCCGCCATCTTATTCCCACAAACTCGCCGTGGCTCACTCTAATGACTCAAAGTAGTCAACTTCCGTGCGGAAAGACAACTTCTTCCGATCCCAGGAGACCCCGCGCCAGACTGGAAACCAATCAAAACGGCCGCTTCTGAGCCTTGCCCTGCTTCTCTTGACAGCGCTCGCGTAACGTCATCACTACGCGACGGATATAAAATTCTGTGCGTTCTGCCTAACGCTGAATTCCCGGCGGTTTGTGGCTTTTCACATTTGGGGTTGGTCTCCTGGGTCTTCGAGTAGTTCCGGAGCCAGCAGAGGCCCAGCCCAGCAAGAGTCCTTCATTCCTGGACAGTCCACGGCCGGCTTCCTATATCTTGAGTTGAAGAGAGGGAGGCGTCAGTTGGCCAAGCGAGAAAATTGCGAATCTGGGTCTCAGAGGAAGAGAGAAGGGGCAGGGTCTTGTAGGGGGAGCGGGAGCGGGGGGAAGAATGGTCGTCATGGCTGCGCTTATAGGAGGAGCAGAAGGTGGATCTTAGAAAGACGATTCCACGTACTCCCAACTATTCCGAAGACATTAGTGTTTCTTCTCGTGATCTGATTTCTAGCTCTGTGCTATACCGTGGCCTGGGACACTTCAGTATTTTTATTTTCACTGAGCATAAAAATGGAGATGTTAATTACTCAGGAATGTATTGCTTGAGGCAGTTCACCTGCAGCTTTATTACTTGAAAATTATATATTAAATGTAGTAAATTTTTACTCATAGAGAAAAATAAGCTGTATTTTTTAAGCAGAACAAAGGGTTCTTGTGGCAACCTTTCACCACTTTTGCCTTAACATTTGGCCACTGTTTTTTGCTAAGATGAGCATCGGCCCTTCCTCCTTTCCTTTTGACCCTGAGCTGCGAGTCCAGAGCACGTTGAAGAAGGTCTTTGGGTTTGACTCTTTTAAGACGCCTTTACAGAAGAGTGCGACCATGGCTGTAGTAAAAGGTAATATTACCAAGCTACCTGCCTTTAGGTTTGTGCTGGCTGTACCATAACACTGCAGCTGAACACCCTTGTCCTGACCCTTTTTTACCTCCCTAGCCTTGGTCCATAATTAGTTTTGGAAATCTTAGACTTGTCACCCAAAGCTTGCAGTTTTAGTGGCAAAACCACCCAACTTCTGGTTCTTATATTTCATAGCCAGAGCTACAAATTGTCTTTGAAAACAGTTCATAGATTCCCACTGTTTTTCATTTGTGTGTGGGCAGTAGTGAGGATGCCTTGAATTGCCTAACGACTGACCTACTGCTAGTTCATTCCTTTGTTGAAGATTGAGTGGCCTGGGTCCCAGCAAAAGAAGAAGTAATAATATTATAAACCTAAGATATGGTGACAAATGGAGGTGATCAAGAGGGGAGCTGGCCTGTAATATTAATGATACATTTATAAACAAAACACCTCTAATGTCCTGCCATGTCTACGCAGATATCCCCACTTTTCTAGCAGTATTCTCCTTTCATGGCTGTTTCATTCAGTCATCTATATCAGCAGACTCAGACTTCCCTACCCTTGTTTTTTTGGGTTTTGTTTTTGTTTTGACACAGAGTCTCACTCCCTCACTCCGTCACACTGGGTAGAGTGCAGTGGCATCATTGAAGCTCACTGCAACCTCAAACTCCTGGGCTCAAGCCATCCTCTTGCCTCAGTCTCTCGAATAGCTGGGAGTACAGGTGTGCACCATGACACCTGGCTAAATTTTCTATTTTTAGTAGAGATGGGGTCTCACTCTTGGTCAGGCTGGTCTGGAACTCCTGAGCTCAAGCAATCCTCCCGCCTTGGCCTTCCAGAGTGCTAGGATTACAGGCATGAGCCACAGTGCCCGGCCCCTACCCTTGTTTTTATTACCATTACTAGATTTGGGGGTGGGGGGAACATTTCCAAGTCTCCCAGGATCCCTGCCCTTTTCACAGAAAGGATGGGAAGGAAATTAATGTTATATTGAGACCCTTCCATGTGCCAGACACTCTGCTAGGTACTTTTCCTACATTCTCATTTAATTTTCAAGAACCTGGATGAAAAGGCAGGAAGCATTGAGATATTGTCTTCTTATGTTTTTGCAGGGGACAAGGATGTCTTCGTGTGCATGCCCACAGGGGCAGGAAAATCCCTCTGCTATCAGCTCCCTGCACTGTTGGCCAAAGGCATCACCCTTGTAGTCTCACCTCTCATCGCTTTGATTCAGGTGAGACTTAGGAGATTGAAGATGGTAACCCAAAAAGATTAAGGAAAGGTTTCTTTATAGCTGGAAATTTCACTCCTCCTTTATTTGGTCTTTTGCCTCTTATTTTCTCTGATTTGCCTGTTTCACTCTCTATATTGGGTTTCTGAATTGCCCAAATGAAGGGTTCTCCACTAGTGCATATCACTCTGGTGGGTCATGAATGAGTCTTCTCTGTTTTGATGGCCTGAGATCCCTCACCCTTGTTTGTTATTTTTTGTCCAGAGGAGTATGGAACTGTAGCTGTACACACATACACAGTCTCACATGTACACACCCATGCATTCATGGTATTGGGATAGAAGATGCAGGTGGATAGATAGCTAAATTGACATGAGCAATCCTTGATGACCTTTATTTTGGTAAGAGCACAGTATGTGAGACAGAAAAAAATATGAGAAACTGGTTGAGACCTTGTTAACTAACATCTGCTCTGCAGATGTGACTATATTTAAGGCCTGCACATGAGCTGATAGAATCAGAATTGGGGAAGCGTGGCCATGTGGTTAAGATCCAGCCACCTGGCCGGGCGCGGTGGCTCACGCCTGTAATCCTAGCACTCTGGGAGGCCGAGGCGGGCGGATTGTTTGAGCTCAGGAGTTCGAAACCAGCCTGAG